TTTCAAGAAGTGAACATAATAAAAAACACATTAGGAAATTCCATGTACTGCACTCCATGAAATCTTACATGGTAATTAAGCACCACTGGACCATGGTACAGCAAATCCCAGCTCTGCACATTGGCAGATTCATTAACGCAACTTCATTTAAAATAGAAATAGCCAGTGTAGGAGGAGCATTAGAAAGAATTTAAAATGGAGTTAGGTCGGTTTTGTTGGGTGGGGGGGAAAAGATGGGAACATTAACCCATAACAAATAAAGATGAAGTAATCCACAGAAGAACTGTTACTACCTCAGAAATCTTGATTGTTCTCTCCAACTCCTTGCTGCACCCACCTGCTATTTTCCAGCTCATTTATGCCCACCTCATAAGGGGCATCTTTGCATATTTACATCTTCCCTCTCTAGAGGTACAAGCACATAATTCTAGGAATGAGCCCAGTTACAGGAGAAATTAAGAAAAATTGTTCATCAGGTTAAGACAGGCTKAGGAGAGAGCTCACATTACAGCAAACCTGCAGCAAATTCAGGCAGTRCTGGGAAATGACCCATCAGTGCACCATCCTCCCATATGGATTCCTTTTCCAAGGATCTTTCTATCTCTTGTCACATCAGAAGAAAGAGCACAGCATGAGAATCAAACAGGACAATGGGTGGACGCCATGCATAAACATTGCTGCAGTCAATTTAACAGTCAAGACAGAATGTGAATTATCTTGGACCTGATTCAAGCAGGATATAGAGGTCAACTCCATGGAAGTGTTTGCATCCTGCAAATCCCTAGCAGAGAACGGAATTATGGTGAGACTCAGTCTACCCTGCACAACAGAGCCGAGTGAAACAGAGAATGTGCTTTTGATGATATAAAAACTTGGGAGGAAATATATATTACTCCTTGTCATGTACACAGAGGTTAAAAAATCAAATTAGCAACTCAATATCCAGGATTACAAGCATCCAAACACTAGGATGAATCCTTTCAGACCTCCTGCCTCTCCCCTCTAAACAGCTACTTGCCAGGGTGAAAAATTTAATGTAATGAAATCAGCTTTGCCATTTTAGTCTCAAAAGTGCATATGGAGCACATGCCTATAGACAGTAATGTTATCTGTATTACTKCAGTGTCTGAAGACCCCAATCAGACAAAGGCCATTTAACACTCAAAAAAAAAACCTCAGAAAGAAAACTGCTGCCAAAAACTATGTGCACTAAGGGAAAAATGCAACCTGTGAATTCAATTAAGCCAGTGGACATAACCACGGAGAGCAAACGTACAAGAATTGCAGATGRACACATGGGTATGGTCAACTTTGACAGCATCCTACAGAAGACAGCYACAAGTCTGTGCTGAACAGTTTTGTTTGTTTGAAACCTGTAAATTATACTTTGCAAAACAGTTCTTTCAATCTTTAAATTAGATTTTAAAAATACTAAAGAAGCTATGGATTTTAGGTGTCCACCTGTTTACTTTTGAGAGGACCCTAAATCAGCTGAGGTAATAAGAACATTGCCTCACATTATACAAATACTATTTCAACCACAGAGTTCCACTGAAGGTTCGTTATCTCTGTTGGTAGAAGGTCACATTCAGCCTCTAGGCACATGAAATCTCTGTTGTTCACTGCACAGTAAATACACAGCACACAAAGCACAAGGAAATGTCTTCCTAGATTTCATGCTTAGCCCTCACTGTACAGGCCCATCACACATGGATTTTTCTTTTATTAAGCTCCACCACATTAAGCCTACACAGTTAATATTGTACTGGGATGACTACATAATCCATTTCCATCATCTTCTTCAAAACTTCCATTCAAAAAGAAGAGTTTGGAAACAGATTAAGACACAATCTCCTGCAAAGTGCAGCATGTGCAAACTAAATTACCTGCTGTATTTGCGTTAAAATATCATGGTCCAGTTCTCACTGGGGATATCATGTTTTTTTTACAGTGTCACTCTCATTCATGTATTTATTGTAAGATGACACATACTTTGAAGCATTGTTTTTCAATTATGCAAGAAGTGGAACTGGAAGTAATTTACTGAAAAAAATCTGTCATCAGTTTCAAGAGTCACTGGCTGATATAGTGGAATTCAGGGACTTCAATATCATTATGGATAAGAGTGACTACATAACTAGTAATCACTGCTAATCTAATGACTGGCAAGGTGACATGCAGCTACCATAGAAACACACGTAAGATCAACTCTTTGCTTCCAAGAAATGCCTACACTTCACTCAGCAATGTRCCATGATTTTTAAAGTCATGACAGAGAAAATATAAACACAGCGTGCACTTTAGAACTTGCCTCTCTGCTTCTTTTCTTTAACAGAGGAGAGAAYTGCTCACAATAATAATGTCACTGGTTTTACTGAGTATGTCCCACTACTGATCAGGAGACAAAGTTTCTGGAGCCACAATCAGTAATAGCCCCATCACTCTTACCAAGAAGAGTGCACAGCAAACATCAAGAGGCAGCAGGCACCCTTTGGAAGAATCCCCTTCCCAGGCATTTTTGCATGGGCTGCACACAGAGATTATTTCATGCAGCAGTCACAGTGAAAGGAGATCTTCACATCTAAAGGTGATACAGCTCTTCTARCAAGCTCTTAACCATTTTGAATGCCTTCACTTAATTATTAACAGCCACCTCTGTTCTTTGCACTTTACAGGCACCTCTATCCAATCTCATTTATATTGAACTCTCCCTCATATAAAACTCCAACGTTCAATGAGTTTCAATATCTTTGGCAGGGGGCTAAAAAACTAGGAACAGAGGAGGGCAAGCCACAAGGCAGAGTCTGAGACACACAGGGCTGAAGTGGAAAGGACGCAGAGTTGTTCTGGCTTCCCAATCACTGTGCCACCCCRTACTCCAAATCTGAACCTACAGACTTCTATTTTTTCTTTCTGTTTCCACACAAGCTACTGATTGAATAAACAAGAGAGTCAGGGTAAACCCTAGGGAAAGGAGAAGTGTGTAGTTAACAGGTTTATGTTTTCAGGAAGGAATTAGCCTAGTGTCACATCAAAATACACGTATTATTCTGAATTTCCTTGTTGGGGAAGCAGCTTGAAGAGAAGCTATAGACATTATATTAAAAACTTATATACAATCAATTATCTTGAGCTAGACATTTAAATTACTCCTGTGGGATGTTTGCCTGAGAAAACCCAGCTTGCCTTACAGCAATGCTAATCTTCTCTTATCTGTTTCACTTTTTATCCTTGCACCTGCCTGTATTAACAAGATTAAGAATTAAGCTGGAAGAGGGCTGTCCGTCAAGGAATACCAATTAATCTATTAATTTAACCATCAGAATAACAACCAAATGGAGCTCCAGGCCCAGGSAAACAGAAGGTGTTTATCATATTATAATTCAAACTCTAAGTCATGCTYGTGGCAGGCTGTGTCACCAGACTGCAGAGGAAACAATTAGGAGGGCAAAAGAGACACTGGAGTTTTCTCGTAAAAGGATTCTTATTTAACTGTTACAGCCAAATGGAAGATTTCACATGTGATCTCTCCACATTTTTTAAAAAGTAAGGAATTCTGTCTCCTGGCTCAATTACAGATCCAACTCGAGCCATTTAGGGAGTGTTTAATTTGTACAAAGTACACATGCTTATCATTGTGAAACCAGGTTCCATTCATARAGCTCACAGCTCCTCATCTCAAATCACAACTCTCAGTTGCATTACTGCCGTCTGATTAAAGGAGTTTGTAACCATCTAGCTCCAAGCAGAACCTGCTATTTCAGCCAAGTTTTTGCACTTGCAGAAGACTTCACTATATCTACATATTAATATAAGCTACCACAACCTACATGACAGAAAACTCAAAAAAAACATCCATGTACTACAGACCCACAAGCTGAGAGTGAGTGAATGAATGCATGAATGAATGAATGAAGAAAAGAGTGAGCAAAACAACAAGAGGTTTTTTTCAAAGTTGAATATCCAAAAGCAGTGCTAAGGATTGGATTCACAGACACATAAATGTTTCTGATCTGGAAACTATTTTAAAGTTTTGCGATTCACCCACTTTGCTGATATGCTGATGGCAACTGCTRTGACAGGCCATCCCAAAGTTTGGGATAATCAACTCTAGAAAAATCAGACTGCAATTAACAAAGAACTCACAAGAAACAAAGTGCAAATATACTCCAAACACGCACAGAGAGCAGCAAGGCAGACAAGAAATGGATGTGAAACAGAGCCCWGTGAATGAAGCCGGGCACGGGAGTGACTCCCTGCAAGTGACAGCGCTGCAAGGAAACAAACGCTGCTTGTTCTCCACTGAGCACACTTCCGTCTCCTCCCCTTCCATTCAACCCTGGGATGCTGATGCTCCCTCCATCTMCATGGCATGCGGCTCCAAACACTTGTGTCTCGGTGAGGGAAGCAGGCGTGTGATCACACGGTAAGTTTATGCTTACATTTGCTGGCATGAAGGGGGGGACCTGCTATCAAATAGGTTGCTTAGTTAGAAAATGCGGTTAAATACTAAGTACAGTGGTGTGGAGCAGATTCAGCAGGGGAGTGTGTGCTTAAGGAGCAACTGGGACAGCTGTGGACATCTGCAGCCGTTGCTTTAAGAGCAGCAAATGCTGCATGGTTAGAAAAAGAAAAGAAGTTGCCCGTTTTGTCCTTTGTACTGGAAGGAAGTCTGTTGCACAAATGCTATTSCTCCTGGAGGAATTCAGCGCAGACAAAGTCAGCTGAGACAAACCAGAGCCCCTCTCCCCCCCTCCCATTATTCCACACACACTTCTCTTCCCGCTAGCTCACAGTTCTGACAATGCAGGGAAAGAGAGAAAGAATGGCAGAGGGAAGCACAGCACAGCTGTACGGTGCAGAATCTCTCCATATTCATTTGCCAAACAAAGCAGCATTCAAAAAAACAACGAAGATGCAATAGGACCATACCGAATCCGTGCCTCTGAGCAGCGAGGGGCTCTCTTAACAATGCATTCAAGCAACAGATAGAGATTTACCTTCAAAATGCAGGCCATGTTCTTTCTCTATCCTTCCTACCAAAGAGCAGCAGGATTCTACTTTGTGAGCAGCAGTTCCAGTGTCAGGCAAGAGGCAGGCAGAGCTGCAGAACTGCTCGAGCCTACATTCCTGTAGATCCAAATAAAGGTACCACGCATCCAGGATCCGTTAGTCATATTAGTCTTTTTCTGCCCCGTTTGTTCCACCCATCAGCTCCTGCCACTGGCTGGGAGCCAGCCCAGCACCTCCCCTCCGTCACATGACTCCGTTTGATTCATGGCTCCAGTGTGGATTTTCCTAAGCTCCAGGACGCTCTCACGCAGTGTTATAYGTACCGACAGCACTCTGCACCTTGCAGAGGCTTTGCAACGCCTGCARATCAACCTGCGTGTTTGTAATTAATCCCTGTGCAGCTCTCTCAGGGTTCTCAGGGGACWGCTGGGCGGAAAAGTCCAAACTCCCTCTATCATTGGGGCTGTAAAAATCCTATTGTGGCTTGTTAGAGTGCAGTACTGTTTTATGTTCAGCCCTTTTCACTGTACCGCAGGCTTCCCTTTATCTAAATTGCTGCCCTGTGAGAAATAATCATTACCAGCAACCAGCCCAAATAGCCTACCAGAGGTGTTTGCACTGTGCTGTGCACACCTTTTTGTGTAAAGAGCTGACATTCATCACAGGGAGTGGAAAGTGTGGGTTGCTTTATGAGGTTTTTTGCATGTGCAAGTCTGATAAAGACCTCTCTGAACTTTCTTTGGACTTTTATACTGCAGTGGGATTAAATGCAGATGAATTAATTCAGCTGTTGAAGAAATCTTTCACTTTACATAATCTCATCAAATTCAAATTCTTCCCTTACATAACATACTCTATAGATCATAAATGTTTTTCTTCATATTTGCCACTCCTCCTGCAGTCTCTTTCTCCCCTTTTTACACTTTCTGAGTACTTCTCATTACTACATCTTGGAACCCTTTGCMTTTTCTGTACTTGGCACCTTCCCTGTATTCCTTTTGTGCCACATTGCTTCACTCCTGCTGCTTTAGCACACACCAAAGCTTTCCCTCTCCCTTAATAAATTCTTTGTAGKGGATGTTTTCACCCTCTCTGCAGCATCTCAGGTACCTGTTTACATGCAGGCTATACCCTCCAGTTCACATTATGAAAGCACCCACCACGGAGCCCCTCCAAGGGTGGGAGGCAGAAGGGGTTCRTGCTGTGCTGCACATTTAATAACCAATGCTCTTCCCTGCCTGGCACGCCTCTCCTATCCAGGTGCAATCCCTCCAGACGGTAAGTAGGTTGAAACTAAAGGAACTAGCTGTCCTCATTTGTATGCAGGGGCAAATCCTCCCTGAGAGCAGGAACAGAGAGGGCCTGGRGGGATTCTCCAGCTCACACTCCTCRGCTGCCTTCCTGTGCATTTCCAGAGAAGATGCCAGTGTGTGTTTGGCTTTTGCATCAGCATCTTAYACAGGTCCTGCAAACTCCTCAGCACCTCTCACCGCTGAAATCCACTTCCTTCTTTAATTACAGCCACAAACCAAAGCTCTTGAACTGGAAATGGTAGTGTTGTTGGGAAGGCTAATGAAAAAGTACTTAGACATAAAATGCTATCCAGAATGATCTAACACTGGTTGGTGGAAGCTTCTAATAAAAGACTAAGTACCTCCCTTACAACTTTCTTCCACTGACTTGTGATTTAGATATTTCCTTATGTTAGCCAACACAGTTAGAAACTTCACTAAGTATTAGTTATTCGTAAGGAGTTGTGTAACAAAGCTCTGTTTCTTAGTGAACAAGATAAACAAATAATTCATTTTTTCCTGAATAAGAAATAATTGTCTATTTTTCTCTCTAGCAGTCTTTCTGTGGAGTTTTCTGGGACTGAAACGATTCCTTTCACCTGTGTAATGAGCATGAAAGAAGTTTATATTTGAGGCAAATGAAAGCTATTCCACCCTGTTCCCACCCTCCACCTTAGCAGTTTTGTAAAGAGTAAAAGGAATGAGACTTGGAGAGAAACTGTCCTGAAAAGGTCAACCATTTCAACATGTCCAAAGCACTGAGGAACTTCCAGTGAATTATATTGCTTTAGGAAAGGCAGACCTATGGGTGGTTGTCTTGTTTTAAGCATCTCTGACATGCTTTGATTCCAAACACCACATCACACAAAATGTGGGGAACTTTAACTTTTAGATTTTTTTTTAAATGGATATTTGTCTTAATAATACTTCATCATCACTAGACATCAGCAACAGCCATTCTTCCCTTTTTCTTTCAGGAGAGATATGAGATTTCACWTTATCTTCTCCTAGGGACAAAATTGGAGGTGTGACTTCAGCTGAGATCACCACAGAGACCAACAGAAAGTCCAGCCTTAGGCTGAGCTAATTTCACCTCAGAGAAACCACACAAGAAAAGTCATCCACCAAATGATAAAAGCAAAAAGCTGTTGTAAGCACATCATTCCATGAGTCTCATGAAGTGCTTTACCTGAACTTACRATACCCTTGAAACAAGCTTTAGGCCAAATACAGCTCACATAAATCTCAGTGTGCCTGCAACTTCCCATCCAAAATCAAGAGAATTGTTGTTGCCAGTCAGTATGAATCTGCCTTTCAAGTCTGAGTCATTGTGACGGGCCACACAAAGACACTGCTTCTAGTTCTGAAGACAAAGACCTTTCCAGTTCTTAGGACAAAGATCTTGCATGTTTTCCATCCAAACCCTTCCGATACATTCCTATGGAGATATAACCTTGGGGCAAATATGGTTGTGTGGGCAGCAGCCCTTTTCAATTCTATGTCTTAGMAACAAATTCTGTCATAAGAAATCAATGTTTTGTGCACAAAGCTGATTAAGCCTTAATTTGCAGAGATTACTACACAATCCCAGCATCCAAGCAGGAGTTTGTGGTGCCAGCGTGGGCAGTTCCACTGGGCTGTGCCACCAGCCAGGCTCAGTTGGTTTGTTTGGTGGCTGAACACCGTGGCACTGATGTCACTGATGAAGCTGCACTTTCATCTATGGCAAGAACTGCAAAGGCAGAATCTCACAGACAGGTGACAGACTTAAACAGTGAGTTAATTTGTTAGTGCCACACTGTGCATTTTAAAAGTGCATGCTTAGACAAAGTCTGAAAACTATCATCTCACTAATCAAATAAATCAGACACCCATTCATGTAGTGAAAATGTGCCAGAAAGGAAGAACCTGTTCTTACACTTGCTGCCACTATAAAGTTTTATCAGCCAAGGATGACACAAGGTGGCATTTTTCACCCTTCAGGTGAAACCTGAGTCAGCAGCAGAGTAACAGAGCCACTCTCCTGTTAGCAGAGATCTCATCTTCCCACCTTCTGTATCAAGTTTTTCCTGSCTCATGTAACTCACCACTAGAGCTAGGCAATTTAAGGTACCCAGCAGCCCAATGCCATGGCAGAGGTAGAGGATGAGATGATAAAAAAATCGTCAGGTTATGATTTCAACAGGAAATCTTATCRGGTTATCCAAATGCTACCTGGAATTTTAATTTAAAACTCTTAATGCTGCCGATTTTCCAGGTAAGGAAAAAGGCTTAGTCAAGCCTGAGGGCCTCTTTTTAGAGGTGAAACTCTGCTGCATTCTGGAGTGCAGAGGCTGAGGAGAACACGCGGGGCTGGTTACAGCCTGAATTCTGCTTTACTTTTCAGAATATCCTTACAGCTTAAGGATATCCCTAAAGCTCACCATGTACATGTTACCAAAACAGCCAGGATATATCGCCCTGCCCGGTTTCCTTCTCAGCCCAATTCAGCTCTACCTTACTCAGCAGGACAACCAAGATCCATTAAAAAAAATAAATAASTTTAGTCATGGAATACTCCTGCATGTTCCACTGGCAGGAGACAAGGATTGCTCGGCACCATTACTGCTATTAGAAATTCAGCTCATCACCTCACTATTATTCAGTGTCATGGTAACAATTTAGCACAGCCACACAGCACTTGCAGACCTTGCATGTTCCGGTGTCCCCCCAGCCCCTTTCTAATGGGCACACAAATGCTCAAATCAAGGCTTCCCAACTTTCTGTCAACTAAAAATTCTTTAAAAAAATAAATAAATAAAATTGAGTGTTGGCCACACCTAAAAGTGCATGAATATTCAGAGATTAAAACACAAAAATCTATATATAAGTTGCTGGAAGCAGAAAAAAACAAACCCTACAAATCAGTCATCTTTTCAGACTGTTGACATTTTATTTTCAATGCATGCTCATCTGAGAGCTTTAGGTTTTTGTTTTCAAAGATGGTTATAAACCACTGATCATTTTACACTGAACTACAGATTGCTGGGGGGTTTTAATATTATTGAAAAAGTGTATGTCATCTATTATTTGTATTTTTTTAAATGTGTTTTAACAGAAACAATACATTTTTTAAAATGCAGAGAAACAAAACAAAAACAAAAATCCACATGCCTAGAGAAGAACAGTGTCTGCCCCAGACAGCTTTCCTCTAATTAAAACAGACTAAGCAACTCTGAAGAATGCTGTGTCTGCTTATACCACCAGATGTTTTGCCTGAATAAAAATAGTAAGACAAACAACTCTATAGCTTGGTGCAGTCTCCAGGAGAAGAAAACCCACCAGTAATATTCTGAAGGACCTTCAAAAGCTAAATTATGTGTTTGAAAATGCGCTGTCATTTGCAGGTAACTTTGCTGAATAGAGAATACGGTTGGTTGACAGGTATTTCTTGCAAGTTCTTTAGKCAAGGATGTTTTTGGTTTCTCCACTATAAAGTTTTTACATTCTTTGCTCTATTATCAATGCTTTGCACTCCCACTATTTCTATGGCCTATAACTAACATCACACAAACACAAATGCTGTTTCACACTGAGACACGGCCGTGTCAGTTTATCCTCTAATGAGATTTTATCCCGGAGAATACAGCTGTGCACACGAAAGGAGCTTAGGAAAAGCAACCAGCAACAACTTCAATCACAGCATTGAAGGCCCTAAATTGGAACAGAAAATTTAAATGCAGCATTTCAGCTTAGGAGAATGCCTTCTCCTGAACCAAAGAAGCAGAGATATCCTGCCTGCTTCCCCCAAAGATTCAGTCAGCTACTGCTTTTGTGGGCTAAGCTGTGTCATCATCAAAATGAAACTTAAAAAAAAAATGAAAAACGAACCTCTCCCTCACCAAGGCTTTATGGAATGTTTCTTTGCACTTGAAAGG